CTCGTCTGTGCAGCCAAACACAGAACAGTTAGCATGCTTTGCTCAAACTTTCATCATGGCATTAGAACTAATACACCGTTGTCGCTTGCGAAATCAAAATGATGGTGCTATGGGTGGAAATGTGCAGATTAAGGGGCGGTAATATTATAATGAGATCCCTTTGCAGCGTCACCAAGGGAGCGAAATCAGACGCTCTCTTTTTTCAGATGCTTGCAGAAAAAGGCTTCCCAAAACAAAGTTACTGAGTTAATCTTTTTCACGTTTCCTTGGTTGGTAGATGCACCGGGGACCTGATTATATCACATTAAACCTGGAAAAGTCAGAGTTTCCTGATATGTCACCTTTAAGTGTTTTTGAATCACTAAAAAGAATCAATAATAAGTGATTAATTCGTTTCAAGTAGCAGACTATACTGAATTGCGCTGTATATTTATTTATTTGTTTTTGGTTTGTTTGATTTTATCATCTGCGGAAGAATACACATTTGATAATAGTTAAGGGAAATTAACTTTAACTTAAAAAAAATAATTTAATAACTGAATAAGTATAATCACACACACAGGCAATTTCATAAAAGATTTTATTTACAGTGTTAATGTCCGTACTATTCGTTTGAAAGAGTAAAGAAATATTTTCATCCCTTATTTAAATATTACAATCAAGAGAACTAATTCCTTTAGAACCACCCCTATTATGTCTAGGCCTATGCAATGAGTAATATACATTTGCACACATACATAAGTGTGTGTAAGGCACAATATTTCTGAAATTTTAAATTTCCATCAAAACTGGAACAATATAATTTATTAAGTCACAAAAACAGGGGAAAAGTATAGTATGCATTAAGTCCACTGATTTACAGCAGGTGGAGCACTCTGTCTCTATCTGTGTGTCTCCACAACTGCTCATCCTGATGCTTATGGAAGGCTGGGAGTCTCAAAACATGAACACAACCACAGTGGGAATCAAACCCTGAATCAGAAATCATAATACCCCGAATTAGCCACAGATAATTAAAACATGACCTCTGATTGACCCAGAAATCATTGTGATCACCCACAGAGACAAACAGTCACAGAGAGAGAGAGAGAGTGAGAGAGAGAGAGAGAGAGAGAGAATTTATAGGCACTTAGTCAGAAACTAATCAGAAAAGGGCTCAGCAGTGCTTTGATATAAGTCCTCAAATCAAAACCCCTCATTCATCTGTGAGTGCATTTTATCAGTGTTTGTTTGTGCTGCTCAGGTCCTAACTTCACTCTGGCTATGAACGTCACCCTCGAAGGCAAGATTGTCATAGTGATGCGACACATCCAACTGCTCCTCTTGCACACCTGCAAACCAATCAGACAAAACAAAGACCAAAATCACTCCATTCAGATCAATAGACTTTGGTTCCAGAAGTATATTTTCACATCATTACAAACCTCATTGAAAGTACACTGTGAACTTCATCCAACCAAAAATGCCAGGGAAGCATTAAACTAGTATAGACACTGATTAGGCATATAAGTGATTAAACATAGACTTATTTCAAAATAATAAATTATACAGCATAAAAACAATTTAACGGCCAACTCTGCATTATTTGTGGTAGCTTGCATTTTTGTCTTATTTATGCAAAAAGACTTAATCCTGAGAGGGGGAACAACAGTATTGCTAATCAAAATCGGAGTCAAAACAAATGTCTTATGTCTTGCCTCTGTATTGTAGTGAATTTCACAGTAAAGTGAATTTATAATAAAATTTATTTTAGTAAATAATATTATGTATATTTCAACAGTAGATTAAATTTAAATAAGTACAATATTTTACTAGATATTGACTTTTTAATATTTCGAGTGAATGCAATCACTGTTCACACTTTTAGAAAACAAAAAATAAAAAAAACTGTAATAACGTGAAATGTTAAATTTAAAATGGACAGTGTCACTAAATATGCTTACTGTACTGATTCAGTGATAGTGAACAAGCTGTTTAACATGCAGTATTTCTGCATTTTCAGCAAAGTATACCTGTATATTTCTATGCTGGTGTCACGTTTGCCTTGTGCATGAGGGACCAGGACCACAATTTCAGTAACTTACTTACACGTACTTACACGGTCCCTAACACTAATTACTTGAGTACATCATGATTATTGGTGGTTATCACTGCAAAACAACACACTAATCTTGCAAATATCACCATAATGTTTAAGAAAAGCTGCAGGAAATTCAATTTTGGGCCACAAAAAAAAAAAAAATCTGGTGGAACTGATATATAGTTTTCGACCAGTGTGTCCTGTTATTCACACCCACAACTAACATGTATATGTAAATGAATGTTTATATGACTCTGTTAACATTAATGTGTGACATTCAGCACAGATACTCTGCCTTCCTGTAAATTTGTATGTGAAAGGGTTAGTATAATCACAGCAAGTTGGGAGTGAGTTCCAAAATATTGTGAGAAATGTGATTGTGTGCGTTTTTTTATGGTTTTTACCATTTTGTGAGGCTTCAGCAGAACCGAGGTGTTCGTTTCCGTGCATGGATGCATATCCAGAGGATGCTGTCTCACTGTTTGTGTGTGACACTGTCTCACTCTGCAGGTCCTCAGAGGTAGAAAAAGATCTGAAATCAGGCACTGAAATCTGTGGCTGCTCCTCAACATCCATCTACAAGAGAGAGAGAAATTCAGAAAAGAACATGTCAGCAAACATTGGGCCAAATTTGTGTGTGCACTGATTGAATGTTCAAAACTGAAAACTAGACATTTCCTCCAATTATACACTTGGACCTGAAGGGGGAATGAATAATACACACTGCCAAAGGAGGAAGAACAAACTGAGCTAATTCTCCTACTTTCTGTATATGCAAGGCATGGTGACTAAGCAGCAGTCCAGTTTCTGTGAGAGCAATCTTTATAACAACAAGTGAGAGAGGATCCACCTAATCTCCAGTTACTGTAATCAAGGTTCATGACAGGACGTTAGGACATTAGGACACCATCAGGCGCAGTTATTTACTAACACCACTTTTTCATGAACACTCTTTACAACAGGTAAGCTGCTTGTGTCAGCTCGGGTCAAGGAGAATCTTTGGAACAGAAAGAACAAAGGTGAGCTCCCAAGGTGCAAGAAGCACAATGGGAGATGCTCCGGTGTTCAGAACAATCCATCCCTTGGGTATCAACCCAATCTTACCAGTATACTGTCAGCCAATGTTCAGTCCTACGAGAACAAACTGGCTTATATAAGGGCTGGGATTAAAATACCAACAGCACATTAGATACGGCAACAAATTCTGCCTGACTGACAGATGAAATAGTCAATCTCTGCTCACTGCAAACGTAGAACAGCTAAAAGAAGTAAAAAAAATTGGATTTATGGATAACACTAGCAAGAAAGCTAGCTGCAATACATGCATTTAAGAGTCAGCACACTGTACTTTTTCACATCTTTGCTTGTGGAAGTTAAGGATGGGCCCACAGGTAACCCTGTCGAATGCATCCTGTCAGGCTGTGCTTCTGTCTGGAATGGGAGCAGGATCAAAGAGACTTATAAAGGACAGTACGGGCAACAGAATGTAACACCATAGGTGTGCTGCCCAATCTGTCAGATATTTTCACCAAGGTGAGCAGGACTAAGCATCCCAGTTATGTCCCGCTGCAGCAGAGAGGCAAATACCACCATAGCCTAGACATTAAGAGTAGCAATGTTTTTGTAATAAGTCAATACTACACAATGATATTATTTATTTTTTATTTATTTTATATACAGTTAGGTCCATATATATATTTGGACACAGGCCCAATTTGTATTATTTTAGCTGTTGACCAAAACATATTCAAGTTACATTTATATAATTAATATGGGCTTAAAGTGCACACTCTGAGCTTTAATTTGAGGGTAATTGGAGGAAAGGTTAAGGAATTACAGCGCTTTAATATGTACCTCCCCCTTTTTTCAAGGGATCATAAGTAATTGGACAGTTGACTCAAAAGCCATTTCATGGACAGATGTAGGCTATTCCTTCATTGGCTGCCCGCAGATGCGCCTACCTATAAATCGGCCTAATTTGCAGCACAATTGGCCGATGCCGATTAATTCAAAAATGCCAAAAATCGGTCGACCTCTATTCATAGTACAAATGGACAATGACCCAAAACATACAGCAAAAACACCCCAGGAGTTTTTGAAGGTAAAAAAGTTACAATTACATAATATTTCTACTTCAATTCGTTTTTTTTTTTTTAAATATATAAACATTTAAATGGTGGTTGTCATAAAAAATATAAATTAAACATCGAAGAACAGTGAAAATTATAATGAATATATTATATGGTGCATATTTAGCAACATACCCCTCTCTACAGTTTATTTTTCTATTTGACTAATGAGTTTATGGTCACCGAATAACGTTATGTTTTTTCTGAGGTAAATGTGACGTTACGTGACAGTAAGTACGTTTACATGGACAACAACAATCCAATTTTAACACGATTAAGACAATACTCTGATTAAGAATCTACCATGTAAACAGAGATTTTTGATTACCTTAATCCGGCTAAAGTCATATTCGAAGTAAACAGAAGACATGTGGAGTATTCCTATTTTAGTCGCATTACTGAAGTGCAGTATAGACATGTAAACACCTTAATCACATT